TTTCAGAGGTTTTATTTTCAACTGGAGCTTTTTTCAAATGGCACATTTTCTTGGTTTCACCTTCAAATTTATGGAAGCCGTGTTTATTAATTCCAGTAGCAGATTTTTATAGGCCACCAAGAGACGGGGCAGTGGCTGGTCCTTGGTGGTTGCTCTGCAGAACCTGGGAGAGGTTCACGGTAGAAATCTCACATCTTCTGGGGCTTAATGAAAGTTTAGCTCGTTTAAAAGGGTGTTAATGAAGGTTTTCAAAGAAAAGAAATAAGAAATTAGGTCTTCCCTGGCGAGTTTTATAAATACACCCCAGGAAGACTCTCCAGAGGTTCCTGGTTGGCTGATATTCCATTTCCTTAATGAATTTTATCACTTTCCAGCACCGCACACTTGATCTTGGTACAGTGTTTTTAATAAGGTTGATTGAAAGTATTTAGGACATGTCGGAAATAAGTGAAAGGAGAAAAAAAATGGGAAAAAATCAGTCATTAACTTGAATTTATCTGTAATAGCTCAGACCTCAGCATCTCTATTTCCCTTTTGAGTTAATTGGGTATTTTCTGATTACACCGTGGCTTTCAGGTGGGACATAAAAATTCTCTTTATTGGGTATTGTGAGGAGTGGTAGTAAAATTTGGTTTTCTTCTGGCCTTTAAAGAGAGGGATTGGCCTACCTGGAGACCTAAAAATGTCTCTGAAAGTCCACTTTGACTGACAAAATGCCAGTCAGGAGATGAGCCCAAGAGGCTGGAGGAGGTCAGGAGGCTGCACTGGAGGGACTGGATCCCCAGAACCAGCAAGTTTCAAGCAAATATGGTGAGATAGTGTTAAATTAAACCATCCAAATGCAGTTTCCCTTTAATTGAAGAATTGTATCAGTATTCTTAAGGGATTAGGTGCAGTAGGAGCTCTGGGAGCTGGTGTTGGAGCAGGACTCCATCAGTTTGGGGATGTAGGAAGGTTAAAACATCCCAAAACATTGGGAAGCATCTCAAATAAATTTAAGGCAAATTATGACAACCTGAAGCCAAACCAGGGAACAGAGGCTGATGTATGACCCGAAGTTGTTGAGGGCTCAACAGATCCATGCAGTTCACCTCTTCAGTAATCCCAGAATGTGCCGAGCTGGAAGGGACCCTCCAGGACCACGGAGCCCCATCCCCAGGGTCACCCCGTGATGGGCTCGTGTTCCCAGCGGTGTCACGGCACGCTTTGCAAGAGCTTTAGGAACGTGGGGATCGCTGCCACCTCATTCCACACGGGCTTAAGGAGCTGAAACAAGGCCTCCTGATGCACTTTGGGCACGAGCCCACTTGTGTCCAGCCATGGAGCTCTTCAGGACAGCTCCCAAATCCCCTCCTCTTGGATTTCCCCGAGAAACCCCCGCGGTGGCAGCAGCTGTGACCTTTCTCCAGGTGCCCAAGCGTGAGGCTGGAGGAGCTGCAAAATACCAGAGGGCAAAATATAGTAACAGGCTGGGGGGAAGCAGGCCTGTGTCCAGGGAAAAGGTGGAGGCAGGCAGGAGCCATGGAGTATTCCGAGAGCGACGGCGATTCCGCTGACGACGAGCGCGGCTTCTCGGGGAGCAGCGACGACGACGAAGGCCGGGGAGTGTCCGAGTCAGTGCCAGGGTGGTGGTGGTGGCACTGCTAGTAATTAATACATTTTTAATGGCTAATTAATGGCTGGATTTAACACAGTGCCCTTCTAGGAGCTGCTTGTGCGTTCGGTGCTGTGCTCCTAAAGTAACTCCTTGTTGTATTTAGTGCCGTGCTCTTGCAGTAATTACCTGTTGCATTTTAGGCTGTGATTTGCTAGGAATTGCTTTCTCATTTAATTCTGTGTCCTGGTAGTGGGTACTGGTAGTAGTTACTCGTTGCATTTAGTGCCATGCACTTATTAGTAGTAACTTCTGTATTTAATGTAGTAGTTAATTTTGCTTTTAATGCTTACTAGTAGTAAGTTCTGCATTTCATGCTGTGCACTTGTAGTAATTATTTGTAGTAAATAGTATTTACTTTTGCAGTTAATGCCATGTACCTGTAGTAGTTACTTTTGCCTTTAATGCTGTGCACTCATAGTAGTTAGTTTTGCACTTCACTCTTTGCACTTGTTGCATTTAATGCCATGCACTCACTAGTAATTACTCTCTCCTTTAATGCTGTGCACTGATAGTAACTAATGGTAGTAATTACTTTTTCATTTGATGCTGTGCACTTGGAGTACTTACTGGGAGTAATTACTTTTGCCTTTAATGCTGTCCACTTACACTTCTGCATGTAATGCCACGTCCTCACTAGTAATTCCTTTTGTATTTAATACTGTGCACTGGTAGTCAGCAGTGCTAGTAGTAACTTCTGCATTTAATGCTGTGCACTTGTAGTAATTCCTTTTTGCATGTACTCACTAGTAATTATTGTTGCATTTCATGCCATGCTCTTGTAGTAGTTATTTTACATTTAATGCTGTTCAGTGGTAGTAATTACTCTTGCCTTTAATGTCGTGAACTTGTAGTAATTACTTGTTGCATTTAATGTCATGCACTTGCAGCAGTAACTTCTGCACTGAATGCCGTGCAGTTTGAGTAATTACTTGTTGTATTTCATGCCATGTAGTAGCTACTTTTTCATCTCTGGTAGTGATTAGTGGTAGTAATTACTCCTACATTTAATGCTGTGCACTTGCACTAGTTACTCTTGCACTTGATGCTGAGCACTTGTAGGAATTAGTTGTCTCATTTAATGCCATGCACCTGCTAGTAATTACATTTTCACTCAATGCCTTGCACTGCTAGTGTTTATTTTTGCCTCTAATGCCCTGGAATTCTGCGCTTCCAGTGGTCTCCTGTTGTGTTTAATCCTGTAAATTAATTCCCTTTTTGAACGTGGGTTGGCAGGTTGTGTGGCTGGAGGGCAGCAGGGGTTGGTTGGTGGGGTGGTGGCCCTGGGCCTGTTGGGGCCCTGGGCCTGAGGCTGCATGAGGTGTTGGGAGCACCGGGAAGTTTTGGGAGGTGTTGGGAGCACCGGGAAGTTTTGGGAGGTGTTGGGAGCACTGGGAAGTTTTGGGAGGTGTTGGGAACACTGGGAGGTGTTGGGAGCACTGGGAAGTTTTGGGAGGTGTTGGGAGCACTGGGAGGTGTTGGGAGTGCTGGGAGGTGTTGGAGCCTTGGGAGGTATTGGAGCCTTTGGGAGGTGTTGGAATGTTGGAAGCAGTGGGAGCGCTGAGAGGTATTGGAGCACTGGGAGGAGTTGGAACCTTGGGAGGTGTTGGAGGCTTGGGAGGTGTTGGGAGCATTGGGAGGAGTTGGAGCCTTGGGAGGTGTTTGAGCCTTGAGAGGTGTTGGAATGTTGGGAGCAGTTGGAGCGTTGGAAGGTGTTGGAGCACCAGGGGGATTTGGAACCTTGGGAGGTGTTGGGAGCACTGGAAGGTGTTGGAGCCTTGGGAGCAGCTGGAGCACTGGGAGGTGTTTGAGCGTTGGGAGCAGTTGGAGCCTTGGGAGGTGTTGGAGCATTGGGAGGTGTTGGAATGTTGAGAGCAGTTGGAGCGTTGGGAGGAGTTGGAGCCTCAGGAGGTGTTGAAGTCCTGGGAGGTGTTGGGAGCACTGGGAGGTTTGGGGAGGTGTTGGGAGCATGGGGAGGTGTTGGGAGCACTGGGAGGTGTTGGGAGGACTTGGGAGCCTTGGGAGGTGTTGGGAGCACCGGGAGGAGTTGGAGCCTTGGGAGGAGTTGGAGCGTTGGGATGTGTTGGAGCACTGGGAGGTGTTGGGAGGTCTGAGCTTGGCTTGTGTTTCACCAGAAGGTTCAAGGTTGGTACAGAAGGTGGTAAAAGAGGACTTTGGAGGTACCAAAGATCGATTCCATGCTGATTAAAAGGATGTATCAAGTGCAGAATAGCAAACCCCACAACAGTCCCTTGTGTGTTGGAATCTCCAGTTTCAAGGTTTATTTAAAATGTTTGATGAAGCCACCAACTGTAGTGCATTTTCCCCTTCTATAATCATCTAAATATAATATAGTGACCATCATCATGCCTTTAATCCAGAACTATAAAGGGATGAACTATTTTTTTGTGACAGAAATTCATCTGAGATAATGGGATAGATATGTTAAGTTTTAACTGGAATTACGGAACACCCAGAAAGGTTGCAGTCATTTTAATGGATCAATGTTCCAGTGAAAGTTGGCTACAGCAACTTAAGGGGATATTAAATACCATAATTCCTTACCCTCTCTATATTTACCAAAGTTTTAGAAGTTAATAGAGATAATTATCTACTGCTATTCAGCTCCTTCTTTCTCCTTGCTATCAATTACCATAATTTCATTTATCAGTGGGGTAAATTAGCACTAATACACACTTAATTTCAGTGCAAATAGACTCAAAGTCAGCATTTGAATATTAATGTTTCTGTCATTTGTGTTTCTGCTTGCTCTGTTTTAAAGGTATTGACATAAAGACATCTCAAAGGCAATTAAAGTTAATTAATGATTACTTTAAAGGGAGAGATGAGTGCACATGCATCACCCTTTTTTACTGCTTTAATACCTCCAGTCTTTAAATGAGGACATTTTTACTTCTAACAGCACCTTTAAATCTCATTTTCTGCCTCAGTGGAAATGCACAGTCTAAACGAATTAGGGGTGTTTAGAAGGAGAGGTCTCTTTTGCCTGTGATCCACTTACCCTTCATACCTGGAAAGGTGGGAGTGAACTGGGATGAAATGAATCCTGTGCATTTCCCTCCCCAACACAGAAAATGCATCTCTTGAACCCTGATGGAACAGCGAATCAGCCGGATTAAAATCAATTAAATTGGTGTTTTATTATATGTGTAATTTGTAGCTTTTACCTGCTTGAAGCCTGGGTGGGCGATGAAAACATCAGGGCAAATTGTGCCTCCCAGAAATGTATTTTTCTGAAGGGCTTGAAGGATCCTGGATGTCTGGAAATCAAAAGATTGTCGTGGAAATAATGCAACTGGCTCAAGAAATGTGTTTTTCCTTGCAGGGAGGACGTCAGAACAGCCAATGTCATTGCGGCCGAAGCGGTGACGTGTCTGGTCATAGACAGAGAGTAAGTACATCCCTCCCCTGCCTTGGGCTTTGCCTCCAATTTGCACCTTTTCCAGAGCTTTGGAGAGCCTTTGATGGTTTTCTCCAGAGAGGCCATTTAATTTTGAGTGATGCAGTCCCAGTGTGTCTTGATACTTCAAGGGGGATGTCTCCAATATTCCAGATATTCAGAGGGAAGGCGCCTCTGAATCAGCTCAGTAGTGGCAAACACTGACAATGAAGAAGGGCAGACACAAAATGGAAGTAACTGGGGAATGGAATTCCTGTGGAAACGGAGCTGGTGCAGTGGAACACAGCGTGAGTTCATCCTGGCAAATATTAGAGCAAGATGATGTTACTCCAGCCCGTGTGGGGCGGGGAGTCCTTGGGTGAAGGACACGGCCCTGCTTGGAGCTCTGTGGCTCCAAGGACACAGAGGAGATGAGAAGAGTAAAATAATATCTTGTCTAGGGAGCTTGAGGGAATTAGGGGGGGTTATTCCAGAAAAAAACATGCCTGGATGATCCAGTGCTGTGAATTCAACTGCTCCTACAGTTGTTGGGAATGCGATTAAAAGCAATGAGCATGACACAGAAATTCAGTGTGACTCCTGCAGTGGTTTTCCAGTTGTGAGGGCGGTGAAGTGTTGGTATAAACCATCAAAAGGTTTCTCTTCCATGGGAATCTTTCCAAGGGAATGTGGTGTCAATCTGTGAAAGCAAGAGAGAGGCAAATGGAATGAACAGGGATTGACTTCCCCAGGGCAGGAACCCAACGGGACCTGCAGGATGGAGTCAAAAGCCTTGGGAAAACAGGAAAACTTTGCCACTGTTTGAAAGGAAAATAAATCCACTGGATTTTTGAAATGTGTAGGACCTCCCTGTGTGCTGGGAGCTTTCAGTGGGGTGTGGGACAGCACTGAGGGTCAAGGGAGGGGATTGTCCCCCTCTGCACTGAGGCACCTCCCCTCGAGTCCTGGGGGCAGTTTGGGCACCATAACATAAGAAAGATCTAAAGCTGTTGGAGAGCATCCAAAGGAGGGATGCGGGGATGGGGAAGGGCCTGGAAGGGAAGCCATGGGAGGAGCAGCTGAGGGCACTTGGTGTGTTCAGCTGGAGGAGACTGAGGGCAGAGCTCACTGGGGGCTGCAGCTCCTCCTGAGGGGCAGCTCCATCTCTGCTCTGTGACCAGGGACAGCACCCAGGGAATGGCTGGAGCTGTGCCAGGGCAGGGTCAGGTTGGATCTCAGGGAAAGGTTCTTCCCCCAGAGGGTGGTTGGCACTGACCAGGCTCCCCAGGGCAGTGGGCACAGCCCCAAGGCTGCCAGAGCTCCAGGAGCATTTGACAACACCCTCAGGGACAGGGTGGGATTGCTGGGGTGTCTGTGCAGGGCCAGGAGCTGGGCTGGATGATCCCTGTGTGTCCCTTCCAGCTCAGGACATTCCATGATTCTATGAAATATCACAAAGTGTTGCTTTGTCCCTGTGTTCCCTGGGCACACCATGTTGATGCAGGACATGTTGATGCTGTCAGAGGTCAGAAGGGACCTCTGGAGCCCTTCCTGTCTTCTGGAGAGACACAATTCCCTGCTCAAGTACCTCGGAGGGATGATCTCCACACCCTCAATCCCACTTTGACACAAGTGCTTTGTACCCAACTATCTCACACTCCTCCATTTCTAGAAATCTGGTGTTCTGCAAAGGTTGAGTTTGGGAATAATACCTCGGAAATCCTGATCCTTCTGATGTGTTAATTTATTATGGATTAAAAAGAAATATGGTCTCTCCATTGAGCACAGGTGGGGAACACCAGGGAGGTTCTTTCACGTACACAACCGAGGGAACCTGGTGGATCAAACACTCACTTCATTCCCTTCTTGGTTTTTGGGGCAAAGAGAAGAAGAATTATTATTCATTAGATTACTTAGCAAGAAATTCTTTTAAGAATGTTTATATTTTTATTAATTAGATAATTTAGCAAGCGTTAATTCAGAGAAATACAAAGCAACAAGAATTTTGTGCCCTCTTTTTTTTTACCATTTTGCAACAGGTATTTTTGGTTTGCACTGTAAGCATTTAAAAAAAACCCCATAACTAATCATTGCAGAGTCACTCATTCCTGATCATGTTACAAAGAGTTTTATTGCTTGTCTCCTGTGCCTTCTCCTCAGAGTATAATGCCCTTGAAATAGTGAGGAAGCACAAGTGAAATTCAACCTGATGAAGCTGTAGTTAATCTACACCAGAGATTCTAGTAACACTCTGCAATTAGTAGCAGAGTATTTATAAGAATCTTATTTATAGGACAAGAAAATTGATGCTATTTATAGCACTCTTTATCATTCAGGGAAGGTTGTCCTGTGTCCTGCCCAGTGCTGAATTTCTTGTCATAGTTTTTCTCTTGGGCTGTTCTTTTATAGGCATGGGAATAACTGTAGGAGCAAATTTTAATGTGGAGAAAAGCTGGGAAATTCTGTTGATGAGGAAAAATATCATTTCTTTCTGTCCAGATACACCAAATATTACCCAGTTTGGGTTATTGTGGTCATGAGAGATGCTCATGCTGAGGGGTGGTGTCATTAAGGCTGCCAAATATTTTCTATTCCAAGCCAAGCTCTTTGCTTAGTCAGATGTAACTACTGACAGCAATTTTCATGCTCTGTGGGTGTCCTGCTCTGAAATGTCTCAGCAACAGTGATGTTGCCATTTCAAAACACAAATGATGGGAAAATACCATTTCCTTCCTGAGAAACTGGAGTGTTTCAGTCTCACTGACTGGGGTTCTTGTTACCCACCAGCATCACCTTGGCAGCAAGGGAAGCTCTTCCAACTTCCTTGTAAAAGTCTTCCCAAGACATCCAAAATTCCAGCTCATGCACAATCACACCTTGGTGTCACAGCAAGTTGTTCCTAGGAGAGACATAAGGCTGCTCTCTGGATCTGGGAATTTTATGAGCAATTTTAGGGCTGGTTTAGTGGCTGGAGGGTTTGTAGTTTGAGAGTAAATAGTGTGGGAAAGTTTCTTCCCAAGGATGGGCCAGGCTGCCAAGAGAGCTCTGGGAGAGCTGAGTTGGAGATGGGACACTGCTTGAGCATGGAAAGAGGAAATGTTTCCTCTAAAAAGCATCTCTGAAATTTAAAATAGGTCTAAAATGGTTCCAGGGGTGAAGCAGTGGGAGAAGGAAGTATCAGGAGGAAAGTGAAATAGTCTTTAATTACCAGACTCTCACCATGTTGGTGCTGCCTCGCTTTTTAATTTCCTTGTGAAACAAGAGGGCTGTTACAGCCACAAAAACACCCCAAAGATGCCCAAAAAAGCAGTGGAGTAATTTCTTGCAAATCTGGGCAGACATGCCTTGAAACAGTGGATTTCCAACTTCTTTTCTGGGGTAGAAACCAGCAGAATTGAGATCTAACAAATAAAACAACCTGCAGTGAGGAAGCATTTGATGTGTCCCATGGAATTCAGCTCCTTTGTTCCCACCTGTCTTTGTCCTGGCTGCCCCATCCCTGGAAGTGTCCAAGGCCAGGTTGGAACACCCTGGGCTAGTGGAAGGTGTCCCTGCCCATGGCAGGGGTTGGAACAAGCTGCTCTTTTAAGGTCCCTTCCAACCCAGACCATACTGGGATTCTGCAATTCCCACTGGGCTCATTTTGGTCACCCAAGGAAGACTGACAGCAAGCAGAACATTTGCTACAGCATTTAAGAGAACTTTAAGAGTTGGCATCATGCCAGAAAACCCAAAAAAACCTTAGTCTCATCCTACTTGGTCAGGTGCATTTGAAAGAAAGAACTGAATAATCAGAAAGCAAAACTTCCAGGGAATTTCGTTTTATAATCAAAAGTTTCACCCTGGAAGAGCAGGTTCCTTAATCCAGTAGGGAAAATAAAAGGAGATGGTGCCAAGGCTGATGGAATGAGGATGACAGCTCTGCTAAGGGACCCTGGGGCCCACCTGGTGTCCTCTCCATGCTCAGGCTTTCCAGGGAGACCAGGTGGGTGTAGCCAGGCTGTGTGGAGGGAGGATGTTCTTCCTGCCAGCCGTGGAGCACAGACCCGACTGGGGGCTCATGGAATTGCCTTGGGAAGTTCAGCCAAATCCACATAGTGTTCATGGGAATTGTCAAAAAAATTGGACAAACCATTTGAAGGAATTTGGAGAAGCCTTTGGATACTTGGGGAGCCAGATAAAAAAAACATTTTCTCCTGATCTGGGTAAACATATTAATATTTTATAGCAGCTGTCAGATGTCTTTTATTCATTTTTAATTCCTTTTTTTATTTTTATTTTTTTACATTTCCTGGGCTTTCTGTGTTTAGGGCTTGCCTTTGACCCTACATGAACTGAAATCAAGCCTGTTGCTAATGAAGTATTTCCTATTGTGCCACTGCAGTAATTCATCCTCTGGGAAGAAACTAATCCTGGGAGATGCCCGAGGATGTTGCCTCCAAATTGTTTCAAGCTTGGCCTTGTCGTGGCTCATCTTGGTGAATGTTCAGGCTCCCTGGAGGAGTCATTAGTTTTGTTGCAGAAGCCCAGTTGGGCTGATGGGGGGAAGGGTGGCAGTGCCCATCTGCTGGATTTGATGGATTGCTCCTCTAGGAAATTGTCTATAAAAGGCCTTTTGATAAAAATTTTGGCGACACACCTTGAGCACCTGTTGTGTAAATCAGAATAAAGGCACGCAGACACACTTCACTTGCAGCTCCTTTGTGGGGAGAGAAAAGGGGAGGAAAAGATTCCAAACTCATTCCCAACATTTGGATCATCACTGATGCTCTGAGAAGTTGGTGCAACTTTGTCCTTCTTTTTTATTTTCACACCCACTTCTTGAAACTCAAAAAGTCTTAGAAAACATTCAGAGCTCCTCCTGAACTGTAAGAATATTTATACTTAAGTTGATTCAGGTTCATCTTTTATTTATATGTGATTTTCCCCCCCCCCATAATTTATTTATGATGCTAACAATGTTTTCTGGGGCTCTGAGATTTACCAAGTGTCAACGTCGTGGGTGCTGGGAGAACAAAATTGCCTCATGCAAATCTGATGGATCAGAGCCAGTAAAACTCAAGGCACAGAGTGCTGCAAAAGTACCTGATATTTGCAGATATTTAATGCTAAATGCTGTTTTTTCCAGCTTGTTGTCTCCTTCAGTTACACATATCAAGATGATACACTTTTTTTTTTTTTTTAAGGCAGCATTTCAAATATTTCAGCTATTTTGGGATTTTTCCGCTTTGCATTTTGCGGGTTTTGTCTGGTTTTAAAAGCCTTTTTGTCAGGGATAGCTCTGAGGTGTCAGGAAAGGTTTCTGGATCAACCCTCTTGGCAATGGAAGTTGGAGAAAAATAAAATAAAGTGTTATCTGAGCGTGACTGACCCTCCACAAGCTGAGCCAGACTCTTCCACTGGGGATTTTAGGTTTTGCTGCTTTAGTGTTTCTCCCAGTTGGAGCGAAGTTTATCCATGGAGAAAATTGGTTGTGAGGAGAGAATAGGAAAAAAATGAAGAGAAGAAGCTGTGAGGGGGAAAAAAAACCAGAGCAGTTTTCTGATTGACTCCTTGGGGAGGTTGTGACTGAGCTGACACTTCAACAGCAATAACAGAGTGAGCTTCAATGTCTTGCCCAGTCCTAAGTCTTGCTTAACTTTTTTAATAAAAACTTAAGGACATCAGACTAACTTGTTACTCCTTGCAGTGACATTTTCTTCTGTGTTTCACTAGAGAAAGATTTATTTGCACTGCCAGTAAAAAAAAAACAAACAGGGTTGTTTAACCCTGCCACATTTTCCAAAGCAAACCAAGCCCAAATTACATTTTAAGCCCTAGATCATGTCTTACGGTGATCCAGGAGGATTTTGTTAATTAATTATCTGAATATGTGGTTTTTAATTGAACATTAACATCCACATCTTGCATTGCTTTCACTGTTGCCTTGCAAGGGTTTGGCTTCAACCTCTGGCACATCCCTGGCACAAGGAAGAGAAACCTTGAGGTGTTGGATGATCCCTGGCACAAGGAAGAGAAACCTTGAGGTGTTGGATGAGCTGATTCGTTCATATTTTCACTTCTGGGCAAGGGGAATTTGGGGTTGAAAAGATACTCTGGTGATTCACACATCTTAATATTAAAAATATTCATATTAATAGTAACCAGCCTTGTTAAAAACCCCAAAGCAACTTCCCTGCAAGAGCAAAGGGGGCTTTGCCTTCTCTTCCTCAGTAATGAATTCCCGTTGCTTTCCCGGATGCCACAGAAATGATTTCCTCGATTATGTCGTTTAAAATGCAACCATTAAACAGAGTGGAAAGCTGGGGGGATTTTTCCTGAGTTACAGGAAGCAGAAAATCCCCAAATGGGTCAGGTTGGAAGGGCCCACAGTGGAGCATCTGGTCCCACCTCCCTGCTCCAGCAGGGCCATCCCAGAGCACAGGGCACAGGAGTGTGAGGGGGAATTACTCAGGGAAGGCCCCTTTGCAGCAGCTCTAGATCCAAATCACTGTAAATCCCTCTCCCAACCATCATCTCTTGCCTCCTATGGGTAAAACGTGGCTTTTTCCAGCTGCTGTTTTTAAAGCAAGATGATTTACCCCCCTCTGGTTCTCCTGGAAGTCCTGTCCCTGTTCCCTGTGTGCACACGGAGTACCTTCCATGGGATCAACCGTCTCCTGATGCTGCAGGACACTTAAGTACCCACTTAAGCCTGTCAGCAGGTTTAATCTCCCTGGGCACAGCGTGGCTGGGACAGTTTCATGAAGGGAACACGAAGCTATCCTGGCTGACCTCCTGTCCCACAGGATATTGCCTTTCCCAGCTGCCCCTGGCTCAGCCTGCCCTGGATTTCCCCCACCTGCTCAACAGCATCAATTCTCTTTGATCCTGCAGCTCCTCATGGTGAATATTTCCATGTTAAATATTATTCCTAAATTCAAAAATGTGGCCCTAAATGGTCATTTTAATATTTTTTTTTCATTTTTTTCCAGGTTTCAGTTAATTTGTTTTCGACTTAACAGCCATTTTTGCTCTTCTGCTCTGTGTTTGGTGCCTCAGGGGTGTGAGGAACATAAGGCTGGAGGGACTGCAGGGTTTTCCTTTGTGAGGCCGTGACCTTAAGGCACAGCTTAGTCAAGAGGCTGTAGTTTGCAGCAGTTCATCCTTTCAAATTAGCCTGGCTCTTTTCTCCTTTGCCAAGGGCTACTTTCTTCCTTGGAAAAAAGGAAAACTGGTCTGTGACAGACAGGCTGGGAATATTGGAAATGTATAGTAGGGAATGAGCTTTTCACCTGCAGTATTTTCATTCTAGGTATCCGCTGATATCAGTTCTTAGAATCATTAAAAATAATTTATTTCTAGTTTTTTATTTGCCTGGGGCACTGTTTGGTATCACCACCAAAGACATAACAGTTGGATTTTTTAGAATCATGGAATCACACACTGGCTTGGGTTGGAAAGGACCTCAAAGCTCGTCTCATTCCACCCCTGCCACAGGCAGGGACACCTTTCACCAGCCCAGGTTGCTCCAAGCCCCGTCCAACCTGGCCTTGGACACTTCCAGGGATCCAGGGGCAGCCACAGCTTCTCTGGGCAACCTGTGCCAGGGCCTCCCCACCCTCACAGGGAACAATCCCTTCCCAATATTCCCTGACCTAAATTTCCCCTCTTTCAGTTTGAACCCCTTGATGTGTTTTTGGGGGAGTGTTTCTTTTAAAGATGAGACAGAGGCAGAAATAAAGATTCTCCCTCACTTGGAAGCAGAGGGATTTCTGGGGATTCTGGTGGGAGGACGGGGATCGGGGCTGAGGTGCCACCACCAGCCACGTCCACATGCTCGCTCTGGAACTGCTCCTGGAGGGTGGAAAACCTCCAGCAGTTATTTCAGGGGGCTGGATAAATAAGTTTGGATCTTCTTGGCCTTGGTTATTGCACCTCCAGCATTTCTGAGGCCGCGTTTCCCAGCCCTGGCCCTAGTTTGGTTGGTCGTGGGCATCGAGATACAGCCCCTGGTTGCTGCCAAAGAGCCACAGTGGCTTTCGTGGCTCCCAAATGGACACTTCAGACATGGGGTAGTGGCAGTGCTGGGTTAGTGGTTGGACTTGCTGATCCCAAAATCCTTTCCAGCCTTAAGGATTCTACAGTTCTTCCCCTAAAAGTGCCCCTTTGTTTTTACAGCTCCTTCAAGCATCTCATCGGCGGCCTGGATGACGTTTCCAACAAAGCCTATGAAGATGCAGAAGCAAAAGCAAAGTAAGTGTCTGCTCCCTGTGTTCAGCAGAAAATCTTAAAACTCATTTTTATTGATGGTACATCACTGTAATTAAAAAAAACACCTCCTTTTTCTCCACACAATAGTGTAAAACTGCTTAAAAAGGAGAGAATTATTGTGAATGTGGAGGTGAGTCTCCTCGGGTCAGTGCCCAAAGCCAGGCGGCCCCAAGGTCCTTCTTAATCACAGCATTTGAGTCCTCAGAAGTGCTGGATCTTCCAAAAAATTCTCTTGAACTCTTGTAAGGTGAGAAACTCCGGCTCTTGGGATTGCAGTGGAGGAAATGGTTGTTGAGGATAATGGGTTTCTTCGGAGAGCTCTGCCCTTCCTCAGATACCTTCACAGAGTCTAAAGGTGGTTTGAGGCCAAGGGTGGGAGATGGGGGCTGGAGTGTATTGGGAGTTTAAAATATTTTTTAAAAAACCAATTTTCATTCATCCTTGATCTACAGTTGGATTTTAATCTGGAAGCTTCGTGATGTCTGAACTCTGATTCCCTCCCAATGATCAAACCTTGGAAGAGGAATTAGAAGAGAGTTCTGATTAGAGAGATGCTGAACATGAGCCAGATAGGATTCAAAGGCAAGAGTTGCTAAAAAGGAAATTAAATCTGCTCTGTACAACATTTCTTTGCTTTTCCTCCTATGCAATTATTGGCTTTTATTGGGATTTTTTAAGGAAGGGAGAGTGTGACTGTTCATCAGTGATCTACAGCTGCCTAAATTTAAGACTGCTCCTAAGTTCTACACAGTAACTTCTCATTAAACCAGAGAGGGTTGTAATAGTCTGTACCAAAGGTACTCCTGTGGAGAGAAAGTGAGAAGCCCTAATTGATTAAAAATACCTCTCTGTTCTTTTCAGAAACTAAATATCCATCTCAAGAAACTGAGTTTCTTGAGCAAAACCTGCTAATTCTGCAAAATACCAACAAGCTTCTTTTTTTATCATCTTTGAGTGATGTTTGAAATGCGTTTTTAATGATATTAAATGTATTTTAAGGTGCTAGAATGCAGGGTTGCAGTTTAGTTTGCAACAGGATTTCCCTGCCCCAGATCAAATGTGTAAGATTTCCTCTTAAAAAGAAGTTCTGTTAAAAAAGGTTAAGTTCCCTAAAACTCCTTTATCAACTTCCTTCTTCTGCCATCCCAAAAACCAGGGATTTTGGGCCCAGAATGCCAAGTCAAATGGACACAGTGCTATAGCAGCAGATATTACTGATAAATATATATTATTATGTATTATGTGTATTTTTATATATAGCTGAAATCATGGCATTTTAATGCCAAGAGCAGCTTCTACAAAGCATTTTACAAAGGGTTGGAAAATCAACTTTAGCAGCTTCAAGGAGATGGTCCCAAGTATTCCAGGCACGTGCTGTTATCCTTTGATATTATTTTTTGAGTGTTGCTATTTGGGTTTGATTGATTTCCATCAGAAGCAAAGGGAAGAAAACCTTGGCAGTGAAGCTGGGGATTTTAAGCTCTATTATTAATTATCACGGAGTTGTTTGCTATCCCGGGAATGTTGGGGATGTATGGGAGGCTTTTTGAGGATTGTTTTGTGAGTTTTTAGGGATCACTTTGTGTCAGTATCCCCTGTGTGCTGGGGGGACACTGCAGCTGAGGACCTATTTTGAATAAACTCTTCATTTGGGGAACCCCTGGGCTGACCTTCACATCTCTGAGCTTTTATCTTTATTCCTTTCCTTCTAATGCCAAGTATTTCATCCCAATGCAAGGGCAAAGCCAAGGGTTCCCGGTGATGGTGGAACAGATTAGTTTTGATACAGCTTTTCTTAAAAGCCAGAGGCCTTTGCCTGAGTCCTGTCACTCCAGGTAGGTGACAGTGGCATTATTGCCCTTCACATGTTGACATTTTGCCTTGGACAAAGCTGAAGGGACCAGTGTTTGCTGCCTGGAGAAACATCAAAGCAAGGAATGCTCTTGAAAAATGCGGCATTTACTAATAAAATACCATATTCACCTTTGCTGGGCTCCTTGAAAGCAAGCCATGCCTGCAAAAAGATGGATAGAAGAGGGAAAAATGGCAAAGTTACTTGGAGAGTGACTTGAAGAGTGGCCTTGGGAGCCATTCCAGGAAGTTTGGTCGTTCAGGAGTTAAGGAGAAAAGTCTCCTTGGCAGAAACTTTAACATGGATTCCTTTTCAAGCAGCTGTTAATCAGCTCCAGCTAATCGTCCTTCAAGAGCTTCTTTTTTCCAAGGGGGAGTTTGTGGTAGGGAAGGACTTGGCCGGTGAAGCATGTTCGGCTTTGGGGAGGGTTTACACCAATCCCACGGGTTTGTCCCTCTTTTTGCACCCTTGTAGCTCCTGTCTCCTGGTCAGAGCTCACGTGCTGGGTGGCAGAAGGCCTTGGGATGGGCAGGAATTTTCTGTGTCCCCTGTGGATCGAGTGGATCAGGATGATCAAGGCCAGGTTGAACAGGACTGATCTCGTGGAAGGTGTCCCTGCCCACGGCAAGAGGGTTGGAACTAAATGATCTTTAAGGTCCCTCCCACCCCAAACCATCCCATGACTGTAAATACCTACCAAATTGGTGGCACTGGGGGGTTTTGCCTCTTTCCACGCTGGAATGTGCCCCTGGGGTCACAGAGCTGGTAGGACATGGCTGAGGGGATGTCAGGCAGAAGCTCCAGGCTCAGAAGCTCTTTCCATGTGTCCATCAGTCCTCCATGGCTGGCAGAGTTGAACTATTTATTGAGTTTATCTCTTGATGACCTGGTGTTTTCCCAGCTAAGCCTTGAGGAATGGTCAGGGTGCTCCTGGGAGCTGGGGAATGATCTGTGGACCACTGAGCTGCCTCTTCCCACCCTTGGACATGGTTTGAAGGGAGAGCAAACTCCGTTCAGCTCCTGAAGGCAGAGAAAATGCTGATCAAAAAGAGCTGAGCTGAGCAGAGGGGCTTCCTGCACCATCACTGGGGAGTCCCAGAGGGACCAGGGCTGGGAGGGTTGTAATCCTATCTTTGTCTTGCATGGATGGTGTCTCCCTGTTCTGCATGGACACTTTGGATCGTGTCCCAGATCCCTGGCTCTTGGCTTGCACAGGCACCTGGAATGCCCAGCTCCAGTGGGAAGGGGACCAGGAGTCCCTGCCAAGCCAGTCTGGAAGGAAGTTGTTCCTCAAGGGCTTTGCCCTTCCCTCAAGGAGACACCTCTGTCTAGGAAAACAAGTGAACAAACCCTGGTTTATCCTCCTGCTCACCGGGATTGTCTTTATGACATGAGCTTCCCCCAGCACCAGAACTGATTTACTTCTTCCCAACTAATATCTTACTACCCAACTGATGCTTATTTTGGAGCCACTTTCCTGGTTTTTGCAAGCTTGGGATGGGCAGTTCTCCTTCATGTCCATCCTTTGTGCTCACTCTCTTAAATCAGCAATCACTGACATGTCACCTGTGAGACTATAATTTTAATTATGGCCTATAATTTTAATTATAGGATTATACAGACTATAACATTAATTATAATATTCTACTCCTCTGATGTATTCAGATGAGTTAATAAATTCATTGACTAATGAATGTTGTAGTTACATCCTTTACACCAGAGGAAAGGTGGAATAGAGAGGCAAAGGTGTGTCAGAGTCTGAGAAAACAGGAGTCCAGAGGAGCAGTGCCAGGCCCAGCCCTGTTGGTATTTAGGGCGTGAAGGAGATCCCTAAGTTATCAGGACACATATCTAAGTGTAGATCACTTCCAGATGGAGCACTGTGGCACTTCCATAAATCCAGGAGGAAGCAGGTGGGTGGTTTCTCCTGCTGTTGTCGGTGCCAAGTGAGGTGAGGGTTCAGCGAACACCCTTCTCTCCAGGCACACTAATCCCTCCTGCTGGCCCATTCCCCATCCAGAGACTCCTGAGGTTAATCCTGGGCACTAATTTAACAAAGTCATTGGAGAGGTTTCCCTCCAGCTTGGTGCCACCTTTCCATGGCATGGCTGGAGCAGGGAAGCGTCTCCCGTGACACAGCGACAGCACCGAGGTGTCCCTGCCCACCAAGCTGGGAGAGGTGCCTGGGCTTTGCCCATCTGAGCAGAGCCTGTCTGCTTCCATAACCAGTGTCCCTGTGCTCCTTTGCTCCCATCACGTCCAGGATTCTGGAGTTGTCTCCTGTGGCAGCAGGGCTTGAAATGAATCCGCTACTGCAACCTGGACTCTGATGCCTTCGTGCTGTTGCTCCAGACTCTCTGCAGGTCCAGACTATTTTGGTTGCACTTTTTCCTTGGTTTTCTCCCCGTTCCAGCTGCCTTGCAGCCCTGGGGGAATATGTCTTGTGTTGGCTTCTTTTCACAGGACTGAAGGAGGGCAGGGACCTTTGTGTAGATACCCAATGTCTTTCCCCTTCCTGGCAGCTCCTTCCCTGGATGCCCTTCACCTCCCTGGAGCTGTGTTTTAATTAACACCTTCATTTAACAGTTGCACTTGATGATCTAAGAGCTCTTTTCCAACCTTAATGACTCTATGATTCTGTCCAAACCTTTTGTTTCAGTGGCCTGAGTTGTCCCTTTTTTCACTTTATGCCCCCTCTCTCACTCCATTCATAGCAAAGCCTCCCAGCAGTTCATTGACCTAATTTGGGTGGTTATTAATATTTTTCCATTTTATATGCATTCTTTATAGATAGTTTTTCTCCTTCCACCCTGGCTTTAAAGGTAAAATTCACCACTCTGTTTAGTTTCTGCCATACCAGCATGTTTACAAGAAAAGGTATTTTTCAGTGTCCCGTGTGGCTTCTCTGAGATGTCTCCTGGAGGGCCACTGCTGGTTCATGGAGCAGGTTTGTGTCTCCTCCTTACACAGCCTCTCCTTTGGTTGTCTTTGAGACTTGTTTTTAACTTATTTGAAGTTGTCCCTGGGAGTTGAAAGCTTGTCACCCATGGACAGATCCAAGTGTTAGGAGGCAGCACAGATCCAGAGGGATGGATGTGTAGAGAAGGAAAACGTTGGTGCCAAGGACCTG